CCCGGAAAAAAAAAAAAAACAAAAAAAAAAAAAAAAAAAAAAAGAAGTCCTGTTTCTTTTTGGTGTACTGAAAAAACAGAAAAAAAGAAGCCCAACATGATATTAATAGGATCATCTTACTTTAAAGATGAAGAAAATGAGATACTGAGAAATTAAAGGGCTTGCTAGTTAGCGGAAGAACAAAGAACTGAGAGGTCTTCCAGAGTAGATTTTTTCCAGAACCTGACTGCAGGCCCACCATTAAAGCTTGCTACATACATGTTCTTATGGTAGAAGACCAAATTCCACGGCCCTGATTCATTGTGTGACCCGGGGCAAGTTACGAGTCTTCTCCAGGCTTTTGCTGACCCTTAAAATGGCTGAGAGCTTGTTTTGACAATACAGTAGCTCAGCCTTATAAGCTTAAAATTTTTTAAATGCCTCAAATACAAGCAATTGCTGCCAGTTGTTTATGGAGCACTTACCACAATTTGCAATTATAGATGTGTGTGTTTGCTTGTTTCTTACGTGCCTCCCCCATCAGGGAGTGCTGCAGGGAATAAGAGAGACAAGATCTATGCCATCATCCATTTTATAATCTACTGGAGTGGGACAGATCACAGATCAGTGAACACACAGCTAAATAAGAATTCCACACAGTAACAAAGGTTATAAAGAAAATAAAGCAGGATATGGAGATAGAGCCCCTGGACAAGGGCATGCTACTTGAACTGGAGGGGTCAAGGAAGCCTCCTGAATTGGTGACATTTGGGCTGAGCTGTTCTTAGATGTGAGAAGATTGGGGTTTCGGGCAGAGGGCAAATGAAAAAAGTCCTAATATGGGAATGAGCTTGGCATGTTTGAAGAATAAAAAGCAGGTCAGTATGGTGGTGGTTAGAAAACTGGAGGAAGGAGGGCCGGCCCATGGCTCACTCAGAAGAGTGTGGTGCTGATAATACCAAGGCCACGGGTTCGGATCCCACATAGGGATGGCCGGTTAGCTCACCATGTGAGCATGGTGCTGACAACACCAAGTCAAGGGTTGAGATCCCCTTACCGGTCATCTTTCAAAAAAAAAAGAAAAAAGGAAAAAAAAGAAAACTGGAGGAAGGGGGCAGAGATCAGGGTCAAAGAGGTTGGCAGGGGCCACTCATGTAGGGTGTTGTAGGAAAGGACTTTGGGTTTTATTTGGAGTGAAACAGGGAACCATTAGAAGGTTCTAGCAGGGAAATGAGAGGATCTGATTTACATTAAAGACCTCTCTGGCAGTTGTGAGACCTGAAGAGGCCAGGATGGGAGCAGGGAGACAAGTCAGGAGGCCACGACACTGGAAGATATGATGGATATGGCCAGGATGGTAACCATGGAGAGGGTGAGCTGCAGGCACACTCCTGACGTTTTGTGGACGTGGGAGGTAAGGGAGAGAAAAGAACAAAGGTGACTCCTTGGGCACTGGGTGGATGGAAGTGCCATTTACCAGGCCGGAGAAACGGGGGGCGGGGGGAGGGGGTGCAGAGAGAACTCCAAAGCTCAGTTCTGAACAAGGGAAACTGGAGATACTATTGGATTCCAAATGCGTTGTCAGGAAGGGAGGAAAGCAGAGAGGAGACAACTAAGTGAGTGTCAGGTGTGAGACCTCTAGGAGACATGCTGCAGAGCAGAGAGCACCTAAAAACTGCTGAGCCCACCAGTCCCCTGGCCACATGGGAAATGGGGCAGCAGACTGTCTACTGGCCTCACTGACATTACACGACTTGCTTTACCAACCACCAAACACTACCTTGTTGGTGAGGCAAGAGCTAATGACAGAAGGTCAGGGAGGTGAGGAGAGGGCCCTCTGAGCCTTCAGGAGACGAGCAAAGAACAAATCTGTGGAGGATGATAGACCTCTTTCTCTTTCCCTTCCCGTGGTACCCAGGAAGGTGTCAGTAGGGACTCAGGTGAGGCATTTTTCTGCATCCCAGCCTAGGCCCTTACAGCACAGATTTGGGAAGGATGATGTGGCCCAACCAAGAGGAAAGGAGGACCATATTTGTTCACTCTTATTGAGGGCCCACCATAGACAGGCATGTCCTAAGGTTCTTTCCCTTAATCTTTGCCACAGTCCCATGAAAGAAGTGATCAACTTACACAGCCGGCCAGGGGACAGGATCTGATCCCAAGACTTACTGCCTCATTGCAGATGGCCATACACCTTGCAGGGAATAGAGGCCCCTGTAGCAAGTGAGATCCACACAGCCAGCTCCCAGCCTTCAAGTCCAGGGAGGGGCCAAGGTCACTGTCTGGGTGAGGGGCGTCGCTGAGTGAGGGTGCACCCTGGGAGAATGCAACATTTAGTCCCTTCTCTTGGCAGAAATGGAAATCTTTCAGACGGGGCTGAGGACACTAACTCTGCCCACACACCGCTGCTGGCGGCTGCAGTACCCAGTTCGCTGACTGTCTTCCCAGATGTTTTTGAGACTTCACGGCATCCATACAGAGAAGATGTAGTTTTTGCTTTGTTTTTCATTGTTTTCTTGGCACCTCCTAACCGTATCAGAGAAGGGGAGGAGGTAGCGGAGTGTTCCCGGCACGGCCAAGTTTCCGACCTGACTGTCCCAGAGGCTCTGAGTGCGTCGCGGAAAGAAATACCCCCCTCCCGGGAGAGCAGGCCTCACCGCCTCGGACGTGATTGGATCCCTGGGCGGGACCCAGGTCTGCAGAGGGCGGGGAGTCTGTTCTAAGCAGGTGTCATCACCGAGAACTTTCAAGACCTAGGGGAGGCCGGCAGCACTCGGCCCCCAGGCGCGGCCGCTACGGGTCGGCGCAGCAGGGTCCGGCCTAGCCACAGGGTCACCCTTGGGCCTGCGGGCGACGGAAGGAGCTCAGTGGCGGGTGCCCGTCTCCCTCCGGCCCCACCTGGTCCCCTCCCCCCGAGTGCTGGATGCGACGCGTGGAGCCCTCGGCGTCCCGAACCCCGTGTGCTGTGAGACCCGCGCGTCCTGTCCCTTCCTGGACCTGCCCTGTCCTTTCCTGGACCTCCTCCCCCCGCAACCCAGACCGTGTGCACCCCGGCGGACTCCGAGTCCCACGCGGCTCCTGCCACCGCAGCCTACCTCCCCGAAAGGCGTCCGTGCTGCTGAGCCGAGGACCGAGCGCCCGGGGCGGCGACCTTACCTCGGCTAGCCACGACCCCGCGACCCGCAGATCGCCACCGCGAGTCCGGAACCCTCCCGGGACGGCGCAGACATTGGCCAGGCGGCGGGGGCGGGGCTTCGCGGCCAGGCCTGGGGGCGGGCGA